AGATATAAGATTAATGGATCAATTTTTAAAAACTTTTCGTACAGATAATTTAGGTAAATACTTGCCAAATTATTTTTCTAAGGAAAACAGTGCTTTTGCTGTTTATTGTTTCAGGACAAATATTTAATTTTTCTTTAATAAAATGTGTTAAATTATTTTTCCTTTGGGCTTGTTTCTATCTAAGCTTTGAAAATCCTTCCGTGTCCAGAGATCTGATAGCTATCCAATTGTGATAGCTTCTGTGATGGTTTTAAAAAGATATTTAGCCTTTATTTTGGTGTTTGGTATGAGATGAGGCTCTGTGTCCCTGCTTACGCCTCACTAGAGAAAAGTCTTGTTTACCCCTGCAAGTTCTGGACTCATTTCTTCACCCCACAGGCTCATGTGGGAAGAAAGATAACAGGGGTATCAGAGCGGGAGATGCTGAGATGATAGTTTCCTAATCTGGAGAATGAGGTTGATTCTTTTCTCAGCTGGTAGACTCTTATGCAGTTTCTTTTCTTTTTTTTTTTTTTTTTCAGTTTATTTTCTTGATAGCTTGAAAACGTGCTCCTGTGTTTGAAATTAGGGCAGAAGTCTTCTTAAATGGAAATTTTCCTGAGTTATTCAAAAGTCACAGTATAGAAGGATGTTTAAGATGATGCATTCTTTTTTTTTTTTTTTGCGGTACGCGGGCCTCTCACTGTTGTGGCCTCTCCCGTTGCGGAGCACAGGCTCCGGACGCGCAGGCTCAGCGGCCATGGCTCACGGGCCCAGCCGCTCCGCTCGAAGTCATAGTAGATGGCCAAGTAGTCCCTGGGCAGGAAGCGCTTCTGGTACCATCGGTCCCCGTGAGGCTGCCTTCCCTGGTGGCCCTGGGTGTGTGCCTCCCATGCAACTGTAGAGCACCCACGGACACGGCTTCAGAGTCTTGACTCAGTATGTTAAAGACAAGGAAGCTTCTAGACAGTGGAGAATTGGTAAATGTTTCAAAACCAGTTCTAAAAACAGAAAAGCACTGATTCGTGATGACTGCAGTTTCCATGGTGTAAATACTCCCACCATGGTTGATTTCAAGCTCCCAGTGGTTTAACAGTCGGCTCAGAAAATTCCTAAAAATTTAGCAGTTGGCTCTCATGAAATGATACACGTCAGTTTGAGTATACCACTGCCTCCAGACTGGGGCTGGAAGATTTGGCAAATAAAAATATAGGATGCTCAGTTAATTGAATTTCAGAGAAACAAAATACATTTTTTTTTAGGGTAAGTGTGTTCCCAAAATTGCACAGGACGTACTTATCTGAAATAAGTCTTATTTGTTCATCTGAAATTCAAATTCAACTGGGTGTCCTGTATTCTATCTGGCAGCCTTACTCTAGCCCCGAACGGGAAGAAACACAACCCAGGAATCATGGCTGCTTTTAAACATAAGGTGCCTTTGTGCAAATACATAAGGTGCCTGTGTGATTTGTTAATTCTGTCGGTTTTCTACATTTATTAGTTGACATACAAATGTAAGGACCTTCCTTCCTTCCTTCCTTTCTCTCTCTCTCTCTCTCTCTTTCTTTCCTACAGTAAATATGGAATCATGGATTCTTATTTCTATTCAATGGGTTATGATCTATATTTTTACCATTACTTACTCTGATGCACAGATTTGGCCAGTAGGAGTCCCTTTCAGCTGGCTTGTGTGTTCTTTTGACATGTCCCTATCATTCTTTGAGCACTTCCTTATTAAGTCCTCCTTGTCTGTCACCCTCAGCTGAACCTGATGCTAACCAATATAATCAGGCATGGGAGTAAAAGCACAGGACGGAGGGCTCTAGGCTGCCTTCTTTTGCTCTGGTCCCTGAGACCCATCACACTGCCTGCCAGCACACGAAATGGTCCATGAAGCAACCACCCCTGAGCCTGAGTTGACCTGGGGAGGTGCGGATAGCTACCTGCTCCAAACAGCCTCCTTTGGAGCAAAGGACTCAGGCAGAGAAACCTGGGAGAAAAGAAATCCTCCAACAACCTCCAAGCACTGCCTTAAAATTGAGAATGGATCCCCCTGCCTTTAGGGAGACTGGACTGGAAAGGAAAATCCCAGTGACCATCAGCTCAGAAGCATGGCACAGCTCAGGAGAATGTTCAAATAGCCAACCTGGAGCAGGGTGCCCAAGTCAGGCCATCAGAGCAAGAGACCCAGACCTTGCTGTGTACTAAGAGGTCAGAGAAGCAGGGGAAGGGAGAGCAAGAAGCAGAAGATGGAACATTATGAAGAGCAGGAGGCCTCCCCAGGGCAGTTTTCATGTCAGGGCACACACAAAAATGATCATGTGTATTGGGGTAAATGGAGAAGGCTGCTCATGGCTGTACAGCCTGTGGTCTCTGGCCAGATAGGTTTCAGCTGGCTGCCCTGAGGCCCGAGGAGGTCATGATCTGAGCACACCCACACCGAATTTGAAGCGGGTTGTTGTGGAACGCTCCCATGGGGAAGCTCTGGTCTAGCAAACCCTGGAGAGAGGGACCACTGCCTGCAGTTGGGTTTTTACTCATTTCTGGAGGTTTGTATTATTTAGGTTGAAAAGATAAGCTGCTGTAACAAAAGACACCCCCATCCCCACTTCCAAAAATAAAAACAAATAAATAAATAAACAAAGCCCAAACCAGATGGAAGTTTACTTCTCTTCCTTGTAAGAATCTGAATTCCTGGCCCCCTGGTGACTCTCTGCGCCATGTAGTCATTCAGGGAACCAGATGCCTTCTGTCTTATTTCTGCCACGCCCTAGGGAAGCATGCGCAAACGTAGGTGAGCATCAGAATTACATAGAGGTCTGGTTTAATACAGATTGCTGGCACCAACCTCAGAGCTTTTGATTCAGTAGATCTGATGAAAGGACTGAGAGTTTGCATTTCTAACAAGTTCTCAGGTGGTGCTGGTGTTTTGGGGTCCACAGTTTGAGAATCATTGCCCTAGGGTGTTGTCTTGTGTTTATGGCCACAGCACACACCCATAGGTGCAGCTGTGCTATGGCTTGCTGGAGAGTGAAGAGTATGGAAAAGGTAGAGCCTAGTCTTAAAGGGCTGCCCCTCTCATTCCCTCTCATTGGTGACCACTTAGTTCCATGGCCACATCCAACTTCAAGAAAAGCTGGGAAATACAGTATGGCTGGGAAGCCACTTGCCCTGCTCCAGATATATTTTCACGAAAGAAGGAAAGAATGGATCCTGTGGGCAATCAGTGGATTTTGCCACAGTGTTTTGGGGGAATTTTCCATTGATTTACTTGGACCAGAATTTTTATGTACAATGCTTTCTTAGGGGATATTATATTGTGATTTCCACAGGGTGACATCATATTGTTTCAATCAGGAACTACTCACGAGTTGGGACTGACAGCTGTGTCTGAGGGTCTGGGGTCTGCACTTAATGGTGAAAGCATCAGGATGTGGAATAACTGTCAGAGACGGCAGTTTTCCCCAGAGAAGAAGGCATCTTTTTTTATCTGGGCAGTGCTAAGGAGTTTTGCTCAAGAATTTCTCAGGGCCATTTCAGGGTGAGTGTGGAGGTAGTAGGATACATATATATATATATAGAGAGAGAGAGACAGAGAGACAGAGGGACAGAGAGACAGAGAGACAGAGAGACAGAGAGAGAGACAGAGAGACAGAGACAGAGAGACAGAGACAGAGAGACAGAGAGAGAGAGAGAGAGAAGTCTGCAGGGCAGGCTGGCAGTCTGGAGACCCAGGGAAGAATTAATGTTGCAGCTTGAGACAAAGGCAGTCTGGAGACAGAATGCCATCTTCCCTGAGGGGCCTCCGTCTTTTACTCTTAAGGCCTTTCACGGATTGGATGAGGCCCAACCCATTATGGAGGGTAATATGCTTTACTCAAAGTCGACTGATTTAAATGGTAATCTTATCTAAAAAAATACCTTCAGAGCAACATCTAGACTGCTGTTCAACCAAATAACTGGTTACCATGGCCTAACCAAATTGGCACATGAAATTAACCATCGCAGATGTGGAAGAGAATTACACATACTTCTTTTTTTTTTTTTATAAATTTATTTATTTATTTTTGGTTGTGTTGGGTCTTTGTGGCTGCGCACGGGCCCTCTCCACTTGTGGCGAGCAGGGGCTACTCCCCGCCGTGGTGTGGGGGCTTCTCATTGCGGTAGCCCCCCTGGTTGCGGAGCACGGGCTCCAGGCACGCGGGCCTTCATAGTGGGTCTTGCTGCCTCATTCCCTCCTGGCCTCCCTGTTTCACAAGAACTTAGGCTCGATGCTGTCTCAGGACCTTTGCACTTGTTTCTTCTACCTGGAGTGCTCTTTCTCTGAGTATCTGCATGGCTTTTATCCTGTCTTTCTTCAAGTTTTTGCTGAAATACTACTATCTAAGTAATCGTTATGGTCTAATGTTTGTGTTTCCCCTAGATTTGTATATTGAAATCCTAACCGCTAGCATGATGGTATCAGGAGATAGGGCCTTTGGAGGTGCTTAGGTCATGACCGTGGAGCCCTCTTGGAGGGGATTCGTTCCATTACAAAAGAGGCCCCACCAAGCTCCCTCACTCTTTCTGCCATGTGAAGATGCAGTAGGAGGATAGCCATCTACGAACCAGGAAGCAGGCCCTCACCAGACACTGAATCCGTTGGTGCCTTGATCTTGGATTTCCATACTTTCCTTTTGAAATAAATCTAGAAACACGTATGTTGGCTTAAAGTCAATAATAATGTAAGTTACAGTATAGGTTTTATGGACTGAATTGTGTCCCTCAAAATCCGTATGTTGAAGTTCTAACCCCCAGTACCTCAGAATGTACGTGTAGTTGGAGACTGGGCCATTAAAGAGGTAATTAAGTTAAAATGAGTTATTTAAAGTAGACCTAATCCAGTTGACTGGTATCCTTTTAAGAAGAGAAGATTAGGACACAGACATGCAGAGGGAAGACCATGCGAAAACACAGGGAGAAGGTGGCCATTTATATGCCAAAGAGAGAGACCTCAGAAGGAACCAACTCTGCTGACACCTTGATCTTGGACATCTAACCTCCAGAACTGTGAGAGAATCTATTTCTGTTGTTTAAGCCACCCAGTGTGTGGTACTTTGTACACCAGCACTAGCAAACCAATACACTGGTTGATGTGCGGATGGGGCGGAGATTGTGAAGGTGGTCCCCAAGTGACTGAGTTTGGGGAAGCTGGTACTGGGCAAAGGCATGGGTTTGGCTGGAATCCTAGCCTTGTCAGTTCCTAGTTGTGTGATCTTTAGCACAATCTTAACCTCTCTGAATCTCAATGTCTTGGTTTAAAGAATGGGCCGATAGTAAGCACCTTGCCTGGAGGTTGTAGGATTAAAGATGTGATAATGTGTGTAAATGCCTGGTGCTCAATAACTGGCAGTCTCCTTATGGGAAAGCAGGCACCAAGGGGGCCAGGGATTCATCCTTTAATTTGAGCACCAAGTCAGCAGAGTCCTGGGCCTCCTTATCCCTGCATTGGAGGCCAACCAAGGTGAGTCAGCCTGGGGGAACCCAGGAGACGGCTGAGGTGCTGGGGGTGGATCTCTAGGGGCCACTTCACTGTGGGTTTGCTCCTTTAGGAACCAGGAGCCAGGCACTCTCCCCAATTCACACCTTGTGAGATGCGACTCAGATTGGAGCAGCGACTTGTTCTAGGCCACCCAGATGGACAGGGACAGTGCCAGGAGCCAAGCCCGGAGCCCGCGGCCTGATCCCTAGGATGCACGGGGCTTGTACCTTCTGCGTTCCGCCTCCAGCTCTCAGAGCAAGTTGGAAGATTGCTCCGCCCCTTCCCTTCCGCCTTCCCAGCCCGCGCGCTCCCAGGGAAGGGGCGGAGTTCTTCGGCTCTGATGACACCGTCGCCACGGCAACGCGGCCATACTGGCCCCAACGGACCCGGGATCTGGGGCTGCGGCGCTGCGGCCTCGTGGGCAGATCGGAGCATGGACAGCTTCTTCGTGGAGGAGGTGGCGGCCTCCTTGGTCAGGGAGTTCCTCAGCAGGAAGGTACGTGGCGCCGCCCTCACAGCCCTGGGAAGTTGCTCAATTTGGGGGGTGGCGGGGGGAACAGTGAGGAGGCACCCCTGCAACCTCTGCACCTTCGGGGAGGGAGCCCTTCCCCTGCCCGCTGCCTACCCTAGAGATGCCCGATGTAAGCGCCACTTTCCCGGGCCTGGGGAACTACCTTTCCCAGGAGCCATTTCTGTCACGGTGCACTTCCCGCAAAGCGGGGCAGGACCGCGGCCGTCCTCCCGGGCGTCTCCCTCCAGGGCGCGCGAACCAGGGGCCTGGGCCCTCCCCATTTTCCTAAAGTTCACGAGGCGCTGGGAGCCCAGCAGGCCGGCCTTGCCGCCGGGCTCCATAACCAGTCCCAAGGCTTACATCCCACTAGGAAAGAACTTCCCCCCAAAGGAAATCCAAAGGGCTAAAAAAAGTTCTTGCCAGTCAAACCCTTTAGTCCTGTTCATCAGTGGGAAGTTCAATCGTTGAGGTCGTTTTGTTAAGTTCTCCTATTGTCCTGTCCCAGGAGAGTTTTCAGAGAACTCAGAAGTTGGGGAGGGGCTTCCCTGGTGGCACAGTGGTTGAGAGTCCGCCTGCCGATGCAGGGGACACGGGTTCGCGCCCCGGTCCGGGAGGATCCCACATGCCGCGGAGCGGCTGGGCCCGTGAGCCATGGCCGCTGAGCCTGCGCATCCGGAGCGACGGGAGAGGCCACAGCAGTGAGAGGCCCGCGTACCACAAAAAATAAAATTAAAAAAAAAAAGTTGGGGAGGTCCTTGTCTCCCACCTACCTTGACAGTGGAGATGAGGGCAGGCTGGGGAAGAGGTCACTGGGGGTCACTGTGTGTGGGTGTGTAGGGAAAGCACCCACTGCCGACCCAGGCTGACCACCTGCTATGTGTTTGGTGTCCTCCTGGTGTCATGTTGGGCGGGGACGACGGGCTCTTGTCTGGCATTAAAAGACACACACACACACACACACACACACACACACAAAAGACACACACAAACAAAATAAACAGTGTTTTGAATGGGGGAAAGGGAAGGGCTTTGGAGGGAGCAGTTCAAATGTCTGCTATTAATTAGCTCAAGCTGGAGCACCTTACTCACTGCCTTGATTCCTTACCTGTAAAAGAGGAATAATAGGACCTACCCGTGGCAGATTTATAATGAGGATTAATAGTAATGTACGGGCGGGTCCCAGCCACTGTATCTGGCTCACAGTTGGCATTCAGCATTGTCTCCTCCCCCATCTCTGATGTGCACCTGTTTGGAAAGTGTCTTTCTTTGCTTTTTGAAAATGTATTTTTATTTAAAATGCAATGTGGCCTCACTGTACCTGCTCTGTTTTTATGGCTAATTGACCTGCCGTCACCTAGTCCTGGCTACACAGGGGATATCAGTGATACACCCTGTGAGGCTGACCACGGCCATCGTTTCTTTTAAGTCTGAGCTACCAAGCAAAACTCTCTGAGAGTTTTCCTCATGCCTGTCCTTTCTCGAGTACAAACGAAATCCAGAGACCTCACCTGATATCCAAGGCTCCCCTGTAGCCTGACCTCACCTTACCAGCCCAGTCTCATTTCCAGCTTCTCTCACATGCTTTCTTTTCCCTGTTCCACCCATGGCCCATCCCAAGCTCCATTTCCTTCAAGATGTCTCAGGCAACTGTGGCTGAAATAACTGACTCATTTGCCTGTGGCTTGCTCATCGGTGCTCATGTGATGGTTTATACATCTGCCTGTCTCACCCACTAGACAGGTCCACAGAGCTGACACCTGAACCGGGCGGAACCTTGGCAGTCGTCTGGCTCACTTGGTCTCCTCTCCTTCCTACTTTTCATCGGGGCACACTAAAGCCCCGAGAGGAGAAAGGAGTTGCCAGCAGTCATTCAGAACGTCATGGAGAGCTGGAGCTGCAGCTCAGGTCGGCTACTTTGCTCATCACCTTCTGCCCCAGGGCAGAGACTGTGTACTCCCCTCAGGGCTTGGCGCAGGGCAGGTACCGAGCAGTTCTAACCAAGAGCGTGCCCATCGTGGTGCAAGGTACTTTCTAGATGCCTGTTTATTTTCTCAAATCCTCATAACAGTCCTGAAAGAGGTATAATTATTCCCTTTCACGAAAGACTGTGATCAGACTGGCAGGCGAAGAAACTTGCCCAGGGTGAGCAGGTCAGATCATGTCACTCCTCTGTCCAAAACCCTCCATGCGCTTCCTTTTGCAATTAGAATAAAAGCCCAGGGAAGGCCTCACCAGGGCCTACCAGGCTCCCCATGACGTGGCTGCCGGCTCCCCCTCGAACCTCACCTTCCACTATTCCTCCTCTACCCTCCAACCTACTTTGTACCTAGCTAACACTGGCCTCCTCCAAGCGTGATCCCCCTGCAGGGAGAATCATGACAGTCTCCTGGCAATGTCAGGGTTCACCAAGGCGACTCTTCTGGTGCCCTAGCCTTCCAGGCCTCCCTCCTCTCATGCCCCAGCCTCCCTCTCCTGCAGGGACCTGTCCCACCTGACCTTTGACACTCCTTCCAGGTGGTCATGCCCTAGGCTTGTTTCCATAATCTCAGTTCCAAGCATCCCATGGTCCCTCACTTCCAGCTCACCCCCATCAGCAGCCCGATATAAACTATTCTTCGGCCTCAGTCCCATCTCCATTCCACTGTTCCTGCCAACTTTTCACCATTCCTCAGCCCTCTGTGACCTCTCCTCATGTCTTACCCGCCCATCATTGTAATCATGCCCTCAACACCACGCTCAACTCCTTTACCTGTCTCTCCCTTCGTTATACTCCTCTGATGTTAAAAATTCAGCTTGGTCTACTCTGTGCCTGCACTGCAGAGCTGAATGGGGCTGGGGGAAAACACACCACCGTGTTGATGGTTTCATGCCAAATTCATGGCCACTCACCCCTGTGATGCCTCAGGGATGCCCGCCCATCTGCTTATACCTCTCCAGCCCGTTCACTCTCTCAAATCTTGGCCGACCATTTCACACATCTCTCTCCTCAAGTTCCAAAGCCCCCTCCCGCTCTAATTTCACTGAGAAAATAGAAGCAGCCTTGAGAAGACTCCAGCACGCCCTACCACCACAGTAACTAACCTTCCTGGGCCTGAACTATTCGCCCCACCCTGCCTCCTGTTCTTAGGAGTGAATTCTCCGTCTTCCTGGGTAAGGCCAACCCCTCCCTGTGTGCCTGTCCCCTCTTGTGTGTTCTAGGACACTGGTGCAGTTATCATCATCTCTCTGTATTGTATTATACATTTTGCTTTCTCTACTGGGTTAGTCTTATCAACATGTATACGTGCTCCTACCAATTCCATCTTGACCCCCAAGACCCTCCAGGTACTAGTCTCTTTCTCTTTTATAGCAAAACCCATGAAAGGGCTCTGTATGTTCTGATTCTAATTCTTCTCCCTGTTTTCTCAAACCCACTTTAATCAGGCTTTTGTCCCCATCACTCCATGGAAACAACTCTTGTCAAGTTCACCAATGACTTCTGATTTGCAATCCTTACACTTATTGATATTACAATTGTGTTTGACTCAGTTGATTATGCCTTTCTTGGAAACTCATTCCCCTTGGCTTCTGGAGATCACCCCCTCCTGGTTTTCCTTCTATACCTTCTCAGGTTCCTGGCAAGTCCCCCCTGGCTTCCTGAGCTGTGCATGCTGGTGGGCTTAAAGACAGTCTCTCGCCCTCTTCTCTTCTCCATTCATTTCCCAGCCACTTCCACCACTGTTGTGGGTTCCAATACCATCGATATGCTGACAGTTTCCAAATGTCTATCTCTATCCAAGACCTCTCCTTGAACTCTTACATTCTTTCCAACTGCCTATGTTACATTTCCACTTGGATATCCAATAAACATCTCAACTTAACACGTTCAAAACTCAATTCCTGATTCCTTCACCTCCTGCAGTTTTTCCCATTTCAGTAAGTAGCATCACTAACTGTCTGGTTGCTTGGACCAAAACCTTTGGAACCATTCCTGGCTTTTTTTCCTTTTTGTGCACCCTGCATGCTGTCCATCAGTAAATCTGTAGGCTTTCCCATCAGAGCGCTTAAAGAACGTAGCTACTTATTCCCACTTCTGCTACAACCACCCTGGTCCAAGTTACCTCCATCTTTCATGTGAGTTGTTCAATAGCCTAATCTTAATGTGTAATCCCCTATCCCATACAGTCTGTTCTCAACCTAGCAGCCAAGTGATCCTTTGCAAATATAAGTTAGTCCAGGATGCTCCTTTTTTCAAATCCTCCAGGAGCCTTTCCATTTTACAAAAGCCGACAAGGCCTTTCCTTAGCAAGCTCTGGGCAACCCCTCTGACCTCATTTCCTGACACTTTTCCCTAGTCACATGGCTCTAGCTGTACTGGCCTCCTTGTAGCTGCCACAGGGCCTTTGCCCTTGTAGAACACTACCCACAAGTGTCTGCAATCTGCTCCCTTACTTCCCTCATGTCTCGACTCTAATGTCACTTAATCATGAAGCTTTTCCTGATCACCTTTTATAAAGTAGCAGCCCTCCCCTGCACCCCCTCCTGGCCCTCTCTGTTTCCTGACTCTGCTGTATTTTTTTTCCCATAGGGTATTCTATTTGTTTTCTTTTTCCTGATAGTAGGTGAGCTCTTTGAGGGCCAGGACTTTGGTCTGTTCACTCCTCTGCCTCTAGCAGATGAACGAGTGGACTAATGGTTTGTTCCTTTCATTTCACAGATGGGGAAACTTGAAGACAGGAGTGAGCACATGGATGATGCTCAATAAATAGCCGGCTATCTAAAATAGTGTCTCCCCTCTCTCTGTTTTCTCTGTCTTCATAATAGAGCATATTAACAGCTGGTGCACTGTACATTTACCCCTTTGTTTGTGGTTTGCTTCCCTAACAGAGTGTCAGTTCCACGAGGGCAGGACTTGGTCATAATCCATCTGTATCTCCTGCATCTGGAACAGAGCCTGGCACAGAGTAGGTGCATGACAAGTGTTAGTTGAATGAATGATGGGACCGATGACTGGCTGATTTCTGAGGGCATCCTTGTCCACTGCTCCAGTGGTTTTCAAACGCCAGTTTGCACCACAACCCCAGGGAATTTGTTAAGTGTGCCAAGACTTGCTGATCTGAACTGCTGACAAACGTCAAGAGTTACCCAGAAGAGAGGGACCCTCGTTATACAGGTTTCCACATCACTTTGGTGGGAAAGCCATGGTTAAGCCCCCATGAAATGCAGGTGCCTCTTGAGTCCCACCTCTCCTTCCGGCTGACTCTTCTTAATGGACCCAGGCATGTCCCTACCTTTTCCCCAACATTTCTTTCTGTTCCCCACCCCCCCCCCAGGACTTCTCTTCATTCCTCTTGGTTCAAGGTTGTGTTCGTACGTCTTGTTTCACAAGGTTGTGTTCGTACGTCTTGTTTCACAAATTCTTCTTGTCCCAATTCATGGCAGGTAGCAGGTTTTGTCTTGTCTTCCCAGCACTGAGAGCCTCTGTAAAATTCTGAATACAAAGCCTAGGGGAGCCACTGAGGCCTGGCTAGCACTGGGGTCTGGATCCATCAGAAGCAAGGGGCTCCCTTAATGCCAGGCTGAGCTGTGTGTGAGGCATCTCCTCATCTTCCGCCATTTGGTTATCACTGCGTTCTGGGGAGGTGGGCAGGCCACAGCTGCTGTCGTTTTCAAATGAAGAAGCCAGGCTCTTAGGGGGATTAGTGCTTCCCATGGCCGGCCTTCTGGGAGTTCAGGGCCGGATGATGGAAAGCGGCTGCGCTGGGGCACTGCAGACGCTTACCACGTGCTTCCTGTGAGTCTGGGTCCTCGCATCACTGCCTCGCAGCCTGGGATGGTCAGAACTCCCGCTCTGTGAATCCACTGTGTTATGTTGGACAAATCGACCCTGGTGCCCCATCTGAAAGAAGAAGGAAATGAATACTGGCCTTTTGTTTATGCTTTTCCTTTTGTTTATTTTTAATGCTTCAAATCCTGTGGCCCCCAATCTAGGCCAAACCCAGGGCTCCAGAGCCAGCCTCGGGCCAGACAGTTGCTACCCGGATTTCACTTTCCTTTTCTATAAAACGCGTTGAGAACTTCAGCCTGAGCCCAGCCCACAGGATGGCTGTAAGAGTCGGAATAATAATTGTGAAGATGATATCAAGTGTAAAGCTTATATCAAAATAAATGCTTAAGTCAGTTTTTGGTCCTCCCAGTATCCTGAGTGGAAGGCAGGAGAAGATGGTCATAAAGAACGTCAACAGTCTTGTTTATCCTCTGCGTCAGAGCTCGGAAGGTTTTGATTTAAAATGGTAAAGAGTGATTCAGAGTTCTTCCCTCAGGGCTTAAAGAAGACGTGTGTGACCATGGACCAGGAACGCCCACGCTCTGATCTCAGCATAAACAGCAGAAACCATCTCCGAAAGGTTTTGCATCTTGAAGTTCTCTGCAAGGAGAACAAGGTACGTGCTTTTAACGTGTGGTACGGAGTTCTGGAACGGAATGTGGCAATGTCAAAAGCACTCATGAGCCCTGCCAGGTCATCCGAGACCAGTGGCCGGAGGCTTGCCGTACATGTGGTCAGGGAGAAACAGACCAGGCTGAGCGCGGACAAATCCCAACTGTGTGTGGGGGGTTTCCAGCCTGAGTCGGCAGCACCCAACTGGCCTACCGCGCCGCGCGTGCGCAGCTCTGGGGCGCATTTTGAACCCGAGCCTGCAACAGTTATTCCCGGTGCTCCCTCCTCCCCGCCATGAGGCTATTTTTAGTAAGACTGTACTTAAAAGTATAGCATTCAGTTATGCTAAAAATTTCCGTTCTCTGCCTGCATATGGTTTTCCTTCTGCAGTTCTGAGTAACACCTTTTTCTTAAGGTCACTGTGACGTTTAATTCAGGCAGATGCAGGGTTTGGGTTCAGCTAACCCGGGTGCGTTGGAGTTGAGGTAGCAAATGGAACAGGCACCTCGGGGTGCTTCCCTGATCCCCCAGCCTCGATGCCCCCCCACTTTCTGTTACAGGCCTTCAGGGTACCCCTTATTTTTCCTTTGTTGTGCTTCTTATGTTTATAATAGAATATTTGTGTGGTGGTTTAATTACGATCTGCCTTCCGCACTACCTTGGACGCTGCAGGATGCATTGTATCCCCATACTTGACATGGGACTGACGACCTAGTAAATAGTCAGTGTGTATTTATGAATGAATGAGCGAGTGAATGAATATACAGGAACGAAGGAATGAAGCTACCATTCTGAATTAATTGCTCTTTCTGTAAGAAGAGAGAACGTTATAATTTGATTCAAGAATGGGCTCTCCAGCAGATGCCTTGTGGGAGGGCATAGTGTCAGAGGTGGAAAGAACTTCGTGATCGTGTCGTTCAGCATTTATCACAAGTGGCAGCCAGGTGAAGTCCTACCAGAGGCCCGGTAAAGACCTTCATCCTCTGGGTCCTGCAGTGACACTCGGGCCCCTCCGTCTCCTGTAGACAGAAGACTGTTGCCTCTGGCTGTCTTTTAAGGCAGGAGAGTAGACTGTACATTTTAGAAAGATTTTCCACAGAGAGTGAGACAGGTAGGCAGGAAATTCAATTAACCATTGCTGCACAGTGGAATTTTTACATAAATACATCTTTACCTAATTTCCCAGAAGCATCTTTGCCATTCAAGTTACTTTTATTTCTTCACTATGGTGTAGTCTCCCTAAGGTAACTATTATCTAAGATACTTAAGATATTTTCATTAGATCTTGATAGGTGCCCTGATAATTTGATTTATACAGTAGTTATTAGCTGTTATACAATGAATTGGAGCTTATATTTTACAGGAAAATATACTCATTAATCTGTCTGTGGCATTATAATTTTGACGTTCACTCAGCACAAAGCTAGAGTGATTCTGGGAAAGCCCTGCCAATTTAATGTTAATTCCAGTAACTTGTTTTTTGCTATTAAGTGTGCAGTAGATAAAATGCCTATGTAAAATTGAGGTTTTGAAAAGTGGTATCTAGATTCATACAAAGGCTGTATCTATTACGAGCAAAGTGATGTGAAAGGCCACAAAGTACAGTTCAGGTATTCAGGGCCCTAAATCTCTCGTATTGAAAGAAGAACAAGAAGGTTGAAATAATTATTTAACATCCCCCCCACCGCCCCGCAACTCTCTTCCTTGTAAGTTTCATCTAGACTTAGGCAAAATAGCTTTTTGGGTCCCATTCTAAAAAAAATAAAACTGTCCCCTGATTTTGACTGCCTGATAATTCTGTTGAGTTTGATCATAACCCTGTGGGTCTTGGTCCCAGAGTTCTGCTGTGTAGGTCAAGGGAATAGAAAGGGGGAAAGACTGGATACACCTGAGGGTTCCCTCTGTGCCAGGCTCTTTATCAGGCGCTTTACCACTCTGACTGCAAACTCACCACATGCCCCATGCCTGGCCGCAGTTCCAAAGGGCCTGGGTGTTACTGGGCAGGTGGGTTGCGGACTGACACATGGTCTAGCCCCTGAGGCCAGCCTGTGGATTGCTGCTTGGATAACTGTGTCTGTACAAATTTACTTAGGAGACTTTCTAAAATAAATTAAGGCTCTGATCTTGGTGATTCTGGCTTAGTAAGACTCAGCGGGGCCTGAGAATCTGTCTTTTAAAAAAACCTCCAAAGATAATATTTAGTGCTGTCAGGGTAGGGAAATACTGATACCACTTATTTCCAAAACCTACTACTAAAGAGTTTCATTTTGGACTTCCCTGGTGACATAGTGGTTAAGAATCCGCCTGCTAATGCAGGGGACACGGGTTCGAGCCCTGGTCCGGGAAGATTCCACGTGCTGCAGAGCAAGTAAGCCCGTGCACCACAACTACTGAGTCTGTGCTCTAGAGCCTGCGATCCACAACTACTGAGCCCGTGTGCCTAGAGCCCGTGCTCTGCAACAAGAAAAGCCACAGCAATGAGAAGCCCACGCACCACAACAAAGAGTAGCCCCTGCTCACCGCGACTAGAGAAAGCCCGCGCGCAGCAATGAAGACCCAACGCAGCCAAAAATAAATAAATAAATAAATTTATTAAAACAAGAAGTTTCATTTTATCTTTTTTAAAGATTGGGGTGTAAACTGAGTCAATCCTGACTGCCTCTCTATGCTCTTGAGCTTTCTGCCGCGTTGTCTCTGTAATTCCTTATGCCCAGTGTTAAATGTAGAGTACATAAACTAAGAAATCATTCAGGTCCCAAATGTTTATAAAGTTGTAGGGTTAGCGATCATAAAGACTTAATTTTTTTTTTTAATAAAAGGATGTATATTTTATAAAGTTATTCCCAGGAGAAAAAAACAAGAGGAAATTTGCTCGGGTATTCCTCTGTTCATATCACATTTTGTTACAATTGTTCATTGAATCTCCTGACTCATGCATTGGATGCTAGTTCTTTTAAGGTACTGATTGATTTTTGTCTTCATCTGTGTTGCTACCTAACACAGTACCTGACATATAATAAGCAGTCAGTGAATGTTTGCTGAGAGAATGTATGGATGAGTAAGAAGTTGATAAACTATGTCCAAGAATTGGGATGGCTGTCTTTTCCACCTTTCCCCAAAGCTGTACATAAAATTAATGATTTTTTTTCTTCTGATGATAGGCAAAGGGAAATCCTCTAAAAACAAACCTTGAACTCATCACCAGATATTTTCTGGATCACTTTGGAAATACTGGTAACGATTTTACTCAAGAAACACCAATCCCTGCACTCTCAATACCAAAGAAAAGTAACAAATTACCATTGAGATGCTCAGAGACCGCGCTGGTAAATATATATGACCTTGCAAGTGAAGATGCGAGTTGGAGAACATCATTGTCAGAAACAAGCAAAGCCAGGTACCTCTTCTCATTTATACTGTGGATTAGTTTCTTATTTCTGCTATAACAAATTACTGTAAACTCAGTGGCTGTAATAGGGTTCTCCAGAGAAACAAAACCAAAAGGAACCAATAGGGTATAAATGTGTATATGTATAAATATATATGTGCATAAATATATATTTAAATAAAGAGATTTATTTTAAGGAATTGGTGCATGTGGTTGTAGGGCTGGCGAGTCTGAGATCTGTAGAGCAGACTGGCATGTTGGAAGCTCAGGCAGGATTTCTGTGTTACAGTCTTGAGGCAGAATTACTTCTTTGGGAAACCTTTGTTTTTGCTCTTAAGATCTTCAACTGATTGAATGAGGCCCACCTGTATTATCTAGGGTGATGTCCTTTACTTAAAGTCAACTGATTTTAGATATTAATCACAATATGTTAATTAATCACAATATAAAAGATATCTTCACGGCAACATCTAGACTAGTGTTTGACCAAACAACTGGGCACCATAGCCTAGCCAAGCTGACATACAAAATTTAACCATCATGGTGTCCTAAAGCAACACCAATTTATTTATTTTACAGTTCTGAGGTCAGAAGTCCAAAATTGGTCTCACTGGGCTAATGGCAAGGTGTCAGTGGGACTGGTTCTTTCCAGAGGCTTTGAGGGGAGAATCTGTTTCCTTTCATTCTTCAAGTTCTAGAGGCTGCCTGTATTCCTGGGCTTGTGGCTGCTTCCTCCATCTTCAAATCACATCACTACAACCCCTGCTTCTGTGTCACATCTCCTACTACTGACTCATCATCCTGTCTCCCTCTAATAAGGACCCCTGTGGCTGCACTGGGCCCACACAGTCAATCTAGGATGATGTACCCATCTCAAGATTCTTAACGTAATCATGTCTGCAAAGTCCCTTTCTTTTGCCATGTAAAGTAACATATTCACGGGTTCCAGGGACTAGGTTGTGAACATCTTCAGGAGGCCATCACTCAGCCTCCCATCCTCTGCATTTTCAGAATCCCTGTCATGGAGCACTGTTCTTTTCCTCTGGACGCCATGGGAATGGACCACTTTGTGATGGAGGATACTTATGATTCAAAATGTTTAATTTAAATTCCATGATTCATGAGGTTCGGGGGCTTCCTTTGTTTGCATTTTCTTAAAAACAGGAGTAGAGAATTCTAAAAGGCCACTAAACACTGGAGTGATGGAGAAAAAAAATAAGGCCTTTTGGAACTCGGGAAGAAAATGAACTGGCATTCTTGATTGTACCTCTATTATTTGGAAAACAGTTATTTTTTTTCTTCCAGTTCTATTGGTATAGAATTGACATACAGCACTGTATAAGTTTAAGTTGTAGAACAGAATGATTTGATTTATATATGCCATGAAATGATAACGACAGTAAGTTTAGTGAACATCTATCATCTCATATAGAAACAAAAGAAAAGAAAAAGAAGAAAATATTTTCCCTTGTGATGAGAACCCTTAGGATTTCCTTTCCCTTTTTTTTTTTTTTTTTTTTTTTTGTGGTACGCGGGCCTCTCACTGCTGTGGCCTCTCCTGTTGCGGAGCACAGGCTCTGGACGCGCAGGCTCAGCGGCCACGGCTCACGGGCCCAGCCGCTCCGCGGCATCTGGGATCTTCACGGACCGGGGCACAAACCCGTGTCCCCTGCATCGGCAGGCGGACCCTCAACCACTGCGCCACCAGGGAAGCCCCAGGATTTACTCTCTTAGCAGCTCTCATATATAACATACAGCAATGTTCATTATATTGATCACGTGGTACATTACATCCCTGGTGCTTATTTATCTTATAAGTGGAAGTTTACACCTTTGACCACCTTCATCCAATTCCCCCTCCACCTACCCCCTGCTTCTTATAACCACAAGTCTGAGCTCTTTTTCTATTTTGTTTGTTTGTTTGTTTTTGAAGTATAAGTGACCTACGGCACTATGTTAATTCCTGTTACACAGCATAGTGATTCGATATTTTATACATTACAAAACGATCAGCACTGGAGAGCAGTTATGTTAAGTTACAACCTTAACACACTGCATGTCATCACCAGTAGTGAGTCTAACTTCCTGGGAAAGGGTGTTTTCTTCCAGCTCTGTTGAAAAACATTTCCTTTCCTGAGGGTAGCCAAAGCTTAAGGTCTGGGTGTCAAGCTGCTAAAAGATGGGGACCACCAAAAAATTAACTCAAGGCTTAAGATGTGAAAGGAAATGAGGGTGGTATGAAAAAGATGATTCCTCCTTCAAATACACTTACTGCCTGGCTGGGAAATGAGATACTTTTGAACCGATAAAAAGCCAGCAATGCAGAGGTTGAAGCTTCAGAGTTCGACCCAGTTACCCAAGCTACAAACTTGGGTGTTATCCTTGACTCCTCCTTGTCTATCATTTTTGCATCCCTTTGTGTCCTTAACGATGCTAGACTCTTTCCCCCCTTTCTCTGTCTCTCAACAGCGGCCTCCATTCACACTCTCACCTCTTTCCCTGGCTATCTCCCAGGGTCTCTTTCTCTCATCTCCAGGCCCCTGGTCATCTTCTCAAATCCACCCTTGACCTAAGATAGAGTGAGATTTCCACAAAACAAGTCTGGCCATGCTCTTCCCTGCTGAAAGGCCTTCAGATGCTCCCTGTAACTTTTAGGATAAAGTCCAAACTTCTTAGGAGAACTTGCAAAGCCTTTTCCACATCAGCAGGTGTCCCACCCCCCCCCCCCCCCCCCCCCGCCCCCAGCTCACCTGAGCATGTCCTGCTTTTACAGGACTCTGTGCTAGTGCCTGGGGCCTTCTGGTTACCTCCTGCCTGCTCATTCTTTCAGACTCAGGTTCTGCCTTCTCTGGAAGCCTTTCTAGATTTCCCCAGGGTTGGTTCCAGATCCTTCCTCTGCTTGGCACGTCCCAATCATAGTGCACATGACCACTTCTGTCATGCATGACCCAGTGCTTGGTAAGCAGCTTGGCACAGAGTTGATGTCGACGCCTCTTTATGCCAGAGTCTGATAGTAGAGCATAGCCCAGCCTGTGTCGGAGGGGTGCTGGGCTCTCAGTGACCACAGGTGGGACTCCTCTTTACCTGGGTCTCTTGCTCTGTCTCTTTCTCATTCTTTTTTTTTTTTTTTGCGGTACGCGGGCCTCTCACTGTCGTGGCCTCTCCTGTTGTGGAGCACAGGCTCCGGACGTGCAGCCTCCGGACGCGTAGGCTCCGTGGCCATGGCTCCGCAGCCATGGCTCACGGGCCCAGCCACTCCGCGGCATGTGGGATCTTCCTGGACCGGGGCACGAACCCATGTCCCCTGCATCGGCAGGCGGACTCTCAACCACTGCGCCACCAGGGAAGCCCTCTTTCTCATTCTTGTTCTTCCTCACTCTTTGCTTTTGCTCTCAGTCTCTTACCCTCTTTTGTTCTCTCTCCCTCTCTTACACACACACACACAAACACACAAACACACACACACACCCTCTTTCTTCAATGCCAAGCAACCCAAGAAAAGAAGCTGTTGGCATGCCTAACTTTACTAAACCTTAACTGGGAACGCCAGATTTTCCAAAGGTCTCTATCCACCATCCTCAGTGGTGTGCAGTAACTGGGCTCCACCCCTCTTATGACTATACCATCGTCCCCCCTTATCCATGGGGGATACATTCCAAGATCCCCAGTGGATGCCTGGAACCGTGGATAGTACCGAACCCTATATATACCATAACGGGAGGGGGGAACTGTTGTATTGAAGGGCTACAGTTTTCCTTAATCACTGGGGTCTGGGAGAAACAAGGATGCTCTTCATACTGAGGATTCAAGGGATCCTATCATCAGTCATCGACTCTGATTTGGTTTCTTGTCTCAGGTCTCATTTTGTTGGCCAGACTTGCCCTGATACAGAAGTATTTTCTTTTCCTTGCCTTTATTGATAAAGCACAGTCTGGTTAGAAATCATCACAGATTTGTGAATGGGGGCTTCCCTGGTGGCGCAGTGGTTGAGAGTCCGCCTGCCGATGCAGGGGACACGGGTTCGTGTCCCGATCCGGGAAGATCCCACATGCCGCGGAGCGGCTGGGCCCGTGAGCCATGGCCGCTGAGCCTGCGCGTCCGGAGCCTGTGCTCTGCAACGGGAGAGGCTGCAGCAGTGAGAGGCCTGTGTACCGCAACAAAAAAAATGATTTGTGAATGGGCTTGCTCTGGGTACCTGTGGAATGTGGAATTTATCATCATTGCTAGGGATTCCTTTTGGGGAAGCTGTTTTAATGGAAATATCCCTTTTTCGCAGACACGACCATCTTAATGGGGATGTACTTGGTAATTTTGCATCATCCAAAAGGGCCTCCCACAAAAGTAAGCCCTTGCAGACTGTCCCAGGTGAAAGCCCTCCTGTGGCTCCTGCTTGGGAGAAGATGGACAAGCTTCAGTCTTCAGAGCCTTCTTTGGACACGAAGAGGATGGGAGAGAAGATCAGGCCGAAGTCTGGCCTGATTGTCCGAGGCATGATGGCCGGGCCCATCGCCAGCTCCCCACAGGTGGGCTTGGTGCTCTTACTATTATTATGAGCGTGGAAAGTGAGGACTGGGCAGGGCTTAAGGGGCTGCCTGGGTTTATCTGGGGGTACCCCACGAGACAGCTCAAGAAGGGAGGATCTGCGTGGTAGATGGCAAGAACATTGGCCTCTTTTTCCTCCCTGGCTCTACTGTCAGCGCTCTGGGGCCATGGGTAGGCCTCATCCCCTCCCCTGCCTTCGGTTTAACTATCTGGTCAACCAGGTGGTTGCCAGGTGGATTCTTCTGCAGAGCGAGAACACATCTACCCAGCTTTATCTTTGCCATTCAGGCGTGGTGGGACCCATCCCAGTCTAGAGGACATATTTTTTAAAAATTTTTTAACACATGATAGTGAAAAGGGAAAAAGAAATCCCAATCCTTATAGTTTTGTTTTAAAAAAATTCTAAAAACTTAACACCCATGTTTTATAGCCTCCCTTAAGGAGGGGCCGTGGTAGGGTCCCATCAGGTGGGAGACTAAACCAAAGGAGAGAATGAATGTAAAAGGGGTTTGTAAAACAGAAGAGAAACAGAAAAACAAAGGAAGGTCAAATGCCGAACTCAAAGTAGAGTATCGGTCAAATCAGGGAGCCTAAGCCAACCATCTGTGTCCAGGCTGGTCACCTCCACCCTCACGTGTGGGTGTGGCTGCAGACGCCAGCACTGCTCTCCCAATTCATCTGGAATCGGCAGCAAGCAGTGGGCCTTCTCCCTGCCTCAGCCTACGTCCTGTGAGACTTTCGGACAAGGTCTTTGTTCCTCTTGGTCATGGTCTCGTTTGTTAGACCAGGTGTCTAAGATCTCTCCGAGATCTGGAATTTCATGGCTCAGTGATGGTCATGCAGTTGGGAAAGGGAAAAATGTTTTAATAGTCTTTTCAGAAAACTAGGGGTATTTTTTAATATTACACCAAACCTAGACAAGTTGTGTTTTTTTTTTTTTTTTTTTTTATCCAGTTCACAAGGCTGGCTGTTCCCTCAAAAACAACCTGCTTTGGGTCTAGATCAAGTATAGTTATCTGTCATTGTTCTGTTGATTAAAAACATGCACAACCTAAAAGTTAAGAATTACGTTTTATTTGATGGACTTGTTGAGGACTTAAGCCTGGAAGACAGCCTCTCAGATAATGCTGAGGGACTGCTCTGAAGAGGTAAGGGAGGAGCCAGGATATACAGGAGTTTTTGCAAGAAACCAGCTAGTAGGAACATCAAAAGATTACTGTTAATTAAAGAAAAACAGGGACTTCCCTCGTGGTCCAGTGGTCAAGAGTCCAGGCTTCCACTGCAGGGGGTGTGGGTTCGATCCGTGGTTGGGGAACTAAGATCCCACATGCCGTGTGGCGTGACCAAAAAAAAAGAAAGAAAGGAAAAAAGAGAGAAAAACAGACATCTCAGGTTAATGAAGTTAGCACTTTTCTTTGTACAGGAAGATGCAGAGTCTGAGTTCATTTAAACCATTCCTTGAATACGCACCTTATCAATGGAAAAAAATGTTGCCTGCCATTTCAGTAAACAAAGGATGCGGGAGCCATCAAGCCATCACACTGCAGTGGCCTGGTGGTGAGCCCTGAGGGAACTCAGGGTAGAAATAGGATGCCGACCATCAGACACTGCAGCCACCACCAACCCCCGCATAATGCACCCTGAGGAGACTCAGGATGTGCAAGCACAGGGTGCTGACCCCAGAGAGCTGAGGTGAGCATCAAAGGAATGATTTCAGTGAGCCCTGACTTTTGCATCTTCTCATATATAGAAAAGTACTAAATTCCTTAACTTGAGATATCTGGTTTTCTTTTTCTTTTTTTTAAAATTTTTTTATACAGCAGGTTCTTATTAGTTATCTATTTTATACATATTAGTGTATATATGTCAATCCCAATCTCCCAATACATCCCACCCCTACCCCCCCGCTACTTTCCTCCCTTGGTGTCCATACGTTTGTTCTCTACATCTGTGTCTCTATTTCTGCCCTGCAAACCGGTTCATCTGTACCATTTTTCTAGGTTCCACATATATGCGTTAATATACGATATTTGTTTTTCGCTTTCTGACTTACTTCACTCTGTATGACAGTCTCTAGGTCCATCTACCTCTCTACAAATGACCCAGTTTCATTCCTTTTTATGGCTGAGTAATATTCCATTGTATATATGTGCCACATCTTTATCCATTGATCTGTCGATGGACACTTAGGTTGCTTCCATGTGTGGCTATTGTAAATAGAGCTGCAATGAACATTGGGGTGCATGTGTCTTTTTGAATTTTGGTTTTCTCTAGGTATATGCCCAGTAGTGGGATTGCTGGGTCATATGGTAATTCTATTTTTAGTTTTTTAAGGAGCCATATGGTTCCTTAAAACATACTCTTCTTCCATAGCGGCTGTATCAATTTACATTCCCACCAACAGTGCAAGAGGGTTGGTTCCCTTTTCTCCACACCCTCTCCAGCATTTGTTGTTTGTAGATTTTCTGATGATGCCCATGCTAACTGGTGTGAGGTGATACCTCATTGTAGTTTTGATTTGCATTTCTCTAATAATTAGTGAGGTTGAGCAGCTTTTCATGTGCTTCTTGGCCATCTGTATGTCTTCTTTGGAGAAGTGTCTATTTAGGTCTTCTGCCCATTTTTGGATTGGGTTGTTTGTTATTTTAATATTGAGCTGCTTGAGCTGTTTATATATTTTGGAGATTAATCCTTTGTCCGTTGATTCGTTTGCAAATATTTTCTCCTGTTCTGAGGGTTTAGACAAGTTGTTTCTTAATGTGGAACCTGAAACCATCCCAATGAACTTTTTCTCCATATCAGTTTCCACTGGTTTGTCTTGAACTTTGAATGACTCTTTTACCACGGCATGGTTTAGTAACATGACGCATTGGGTCATGTGGAAATTATTGGTTTACTAAGTTATATGGATCTTCTGAACGTTGACACATTTCAATATACAAAAAAAAAAACACATAAAAAATTGCATTTGTTGATATCACTACTCAACTTATCAGGAAGTTTTTGAGAAGCCCTCCAGTTCACAATGGCAAACACAGGTTTCCCCAGATTCTAATTTTTACCTGATGACTTGTATTTTATCACTGGCAACAGTGTATCATTTTTGTTCCTTGATGGGACAGGCTCAATTTATTTTCAAGAAAATGCCTGCCAGATACTCAGTACTCAGTATTCAAATACTGAATAACCATAACTCATCTGTCAGTTGTTCCATGAAAAAACTAGCAAGTTTAGCTCACAACTCAGATGGCTGCATAAGTGCTTCTCCTGGTGACGGCCTCACCCTCTGCATCCCGCAGAATGTTTATATATACCTCCCATTTTGTCACACAGACTGTTAAAGAGATGTGTAACATAGGGTCAAGATTGAACACAGTTAATATTTGTTATGCTTCAGCATGGACATTCTTAAGTGAAATTAGCGTTTCACTTATTTACTTTTATTGCAAGCGGTGTTAATACCTTGAGTGCTGGTAAAGTTTGGTGCTGCTGCCTTGATTCGTGCTAAGGGCCAGCCAACAGTTTTTCCCACCAGTGCTTTGCACCATCAGTACAAATGTGGACACAGTGAAAAGGGCAAATCATGTTGTATTATTATTATGAAAATAATTTTGAGCTCCCTGAAAGGGTTTGGGGTTAGACCTGTAAGGTCGGTGGACTGCACTTTGGGAACTGGTGGACCAGATGAACACTAGGGTCCTGTCCTATCATGACTTTCTAATCATCAGGTCTGTGCGGTTCAGACCCCTTCATAACTGAGGTGTAAGGAAGATGGCTTGTACCTACCTGCTTTACTGCTGAGAGATTGCTGCAAACTTCTCCCCAAAGGAGAAGTGATTGTTCTCGGAGGTGTTCTTTTCCCCTGGAGTATCTGAATCCCGTGAAGGACACAGAGGTAGAATTTCCTCAGGTGTTCTGTGGGCCTTTGAGTACCTTGGCCATACTTATTGGTTGCTCAAGAGAAAAGAGCAAGGTTGCTAGGTAGTGCATCATTAGGTATGGCATATGGATCAGCTCTGCACTTTTGAAGAGTGAGTAAGAGGCTGGGTTCCCTGCCCTTGGCCGGAAGTTTGGGTCTCCTTGGGAATGTTGACTAATGTTTTCCTTGTTCTGTGGCAAGGGATGCCCTGGGTGGCTTTCGGAGGAGGTTTATAGTGCCTAGTAATTTCCACCGGGCGGGAATATGGCAGAATTAGCTGTTCTTTTTCTGGCACAGGCTTTACCATTTGGCCCAGGATTATTTCTGGAAATGCTGAGAGGTCCAGAATTTTAAACCCAGGAAGAGGCCAGCAGGTGTATTTTTGTCCCCTACCCCTACTCCTCTTCCTCAGATTGGTAACAACGTGAGTTCTCATTTCATTGGTTAATGATTGATAGTGAGAGAGGACATTTCTGTTGACCCCTCTGAAATTCCTTCATTTCAAAAAGTAAGCACTGCTTACTATGTATAGGTCACTGGGCTGGGAGCTCTGGGGACACCAGAGTTGAAGGAAGAATGGCCTCCATCACCTGGTCTACTGGCAGGAAGGGTTAAGGCCATATGTAAGTGGGGACGGGGGCAAAGGTGCGTAGCAGTAAGTAATATTTGCTGGCTGCTGTGCAGGGTTTGGCTCTGTGATGGTGCCTTACGTGGGTCTGGGTCTCTCCTTTGGTCCTCACCATGGTCTTGTGGGAGATTGGCACTGTAGGTCCCCAGTCCCTCATCCAAAACCTTTGAGCAAATGTGTTTTGGAATGTAGATTTTGTTTTTAAACTTCAGAAAGGAAATACAATGCATAAACCACATACCACAGAACGCCTGCAGTAGGGTTTGGAGTAGCACCCCATAAGTAAAACATTTCTGCAGCAAAACATGAGTATTCACACTTAAAAAGGGACCGCAATGGAATTCCCTGGCGGTCCAATGGTTAGGACTCTGTGCTTTCACTGCCGAGGGCCCAGGTTCAATCCCTGGTCTGGGAACTAAGATCCCGCAAGCCACATGGCCAAAAAACCAAAAAAAAAAAAAAAACAACAAAAAAACCCAAGAATGCAAGCAACCTACCTCATAAGAATGAAAAAGAATTTGCCATGGGATTCCAAAAGAAATGGTCATTTTTTAGGGGTTTTGGGATTTAGGAATTATTGATAGCAGGTTGTGGACAGGTTATATTGCAGGTGGGGAAGTGAGGGACAAAGAAGTTCAATGACTTGTCACAGAGCACACGGCTGGCAGGGGGTGACACGGGAATTAGAACACAAGTCTGACCCTGGAGCTCTCTGTAAGGGGTATGAGGGGGGGACCAAGGCATGCTCCTGGGATTTATGTGGGTGGGGTTCTGTGAAAGCGTTACAGAAGTGGTAGCCCCTGCGTGTCTCCTCAAAGGGTGGGTAGGATTTTAGGAGAAGGAGTTGAGGATGGGAAAGACATTCCTGGGGGAGGGAAGATCATGGGTAAATGCTTGACGTGGGATATTTTCTCACCTCCCTCCAAGGGGATCCTCACCGCTGCTTTTGTCCTTGCTCTTTTCAGGATTCCCTCCGCAAACGCTCGCTGAGGCAGTCCCCGGCCTTGAGCAGCACGACCCAACCCCACGAGGAGGGGAGCCTACAAGCGCCCGAGCTGTCTGCTCACACCCCAGCCTGTCCCCCGCCTGTCCCGCAGGAGGGCCTGGCTTCCAGCACCACCTCCACCCCCAGGAGCACCCTGGGCCTGCTCAGCCAGCTGACCTTGGAAAAGTGGAGAGCCTCGCCCAGCAGCCCTCCTCCCCTGCCAGGCAAAGGGCTTCCCCAGAGCGGGAGCGGCCGGTGGAGAGACCTTTCAGAGGACAGCCCAGCCGCGGACAGTGGCCTAGAGGCCGACAGGACCGCCTTGAACTTCTCCTTGTCCAGTGGGAATGCCCCGACGACCCAGGAGAGGCTGGAAAGAGTCTTCAAACGGCAGGGGAGCCAGCCCCCGGCCCTCAGGTGAGTGTGCTGTGCCCAGGTGATGGTTTTCGGACAACCGTCCAGTCCCGAGTGGCTCCTTGGGCTCTCCGAGCGAGGCTGTGAAGTAGGGGAGGTGATGATGGTCACTCCACCAGGGAGAAAGCAGCCCAGAGTGCACACACCAGGAGGCTTTGTGTGTGGGGGGGTGTTTCTTTGGCCCTTCTTACTTCTTCTCAAGGGTCAGCCTGATATGGTACAAGAGATGCGTCGAAGCCAGAGGTATGGTGGTGAATCAGTTCCCACAAGGCTCCTCTGGGGCAATTTTTTTAACCCTATCCTAAGTCCTTCGCTTTTATTCTTTCGCAATAGACCTTGGTGATCCCTACACTGATTGTCCTTTGAATGTTAAACCAACCTTACATTTCTGGAATGAACCACCCTTGGCTGTGACGCATTTTCTTTGTATATATTGTTTGATTTGACTTACTAATATTTTGTGTAGGGTTTTGTATATAAATTCATGAGGGAGGTTGGCTGGCAAATTTCCTTTCTCGTAACAACAGCCTTGTCAGATTTTGGTGTCCAGGATATGCTAGAAGTGGTCCCTCTTTTTCTTTATGGTCTTGAAGAGTTAGTGTGAGATCGGTGTTATTTCGTCCTTAAATATTTGGGAGAATTTTCTGGAGAAGTCTTCTGAGCATTGAGTTAAAAGGTTTTAAATTGTGGATTCAATTAAAAAACATTTTTTAATTAAAATTTTCTATTTCTTCTTGTGTCAGTTTTGGCAGGTTGTATTTTTCCAAGGAATTTAACCACTTACTTTATATTTTAACTTTACTGATATAAAATTGTGTAATTATACACAATTTTTCTTTATTGGAATAAAATTGCTTTACAATGTTGTGTTAGTTTCTGCTATACAATGAAGTGAATCAGCTATACGTATACCTATCTCCCCTCCCTCTTGGACCTCCCTTACGCTCCCCCCCCCAACCCACCCATCCATGTTGTCACAGAGCACCGAGCTGAGCTCCCTGTGCTATATAGCAGGTTCCCACTAGCTATCTATTTTACGCATGGTAGTGTATATATGTCAACCCTAATCTCCCAATTCGTCCCACCCTCTCCTTCCCACCCTGTGTCCAAATGTCCGTTCTCCATGTCTACGTCTCTATTCCTGCCCTGCAAATAGGTTCATCTGTACCATTTTTCTAGATGCCACATATATGTGTTAATATTCGATATTTGTTTTTCTCTTTCTGACTTACTCCAGTCTGTATGACAGACTCTAGGTCCATCCACATCTCTACAAATGAGCCAATTTCATTCCTTTTTATGGCTGAGTAATATTCCATTGTTTATATGTACCACATCTTCTTTATCCATTCATCTGTCTTTGGACATTTAGGTTGTTTCCATGTCCTGGCTATTGTAAATAGTGCTGCAATGAACATTGAGGTACATGTGTCCTTGTGAATTATGAATATCCTCTTATTGTCCCTTTCAAGTCTGTAAGATCTGCAGGGATGTCTCTGTTTCCATTCCCGATACTGGTAATTTGTGTTCTGTGAATTACATGCCTTTTTCAAAGAGCTAACTTTTGGCTTTGTAGGTTTGTTTTCTAATTAATTGATTCCCACTCTTACTTGTATTCTTTCTTTCATTCTGCTTTCTTTGAGTTTAATTTGCTATTATTTTCTATTTTACTTTATTATTTATTTCTATTTTGTCTTAAATTATTGATTCTCAGCCGCCTCCTCCTCCTTCTTCTTCTTCTTCTCTTTCCTCTTCCTCTTATTCTTCCTCCTCTTCTTCTTTGGGCATTTCTTTTTTTTTTTTTTTTGCGGTACGTGGGCCTCTCACTGTTGTGGCCTCTCCCATTGAAGAGCACTGGCTCCGGACGCGCAGGCTCAGCAGCCATGGCTCATGGGCCTAGCCGCTTTGCGGCATGTGGGATCTTCCCGGACCGGGGCACGAACCCGTGTCCGCTGCATCGGCAGGTGGACTCTCAACCACTGCGCCACCAGGGAAGCCCTTTGGGCATTTCTGATTCTAATTTTTAGGGGGCTTCGTGACTGCTATTTCAGGATTATTTTCAATATTTCTTACCTATAATTATTAATATTGAGTACTACCATTAATTGAGAGTTTACTTAGTGCCTGATAACGATACTAGGCACTTTTCATATATTATTCTATTTCATACTTGAAAAAACCTGCAAGGAGGTATTATTATTCCTTAATTTACAGATGAGGGAATACAGACTCATAGAGGTTATCACTCCCAAGGTTGCCTAGCCAGGAAGTGAAGGAGCTGGGATATGAACCTAGGTGTTTCTGAGTCCAAAGCCCATCATGCCTGTAAGCACCATCCTGTACTAGTTAGGTAATTGCGTTTTTGTTTGTGTGTGATGTGTATGTTTTAAACACTAGTAATTTGCTTGGAGAATTTCTGCAGGGGTGGGTATAAGAAGTATTAGGCATCCTGGTTTGTAATACTGGCTTTTTAAGTCATTTACTGTGAGCCTAATATGTGCCAGGCACTTAGGCACTGGTAGTGCAAGGCAAGCTGAACGGATACAGTGTATTAACTCCCTTCGTGACCATAGATAAGCTGGGCCTACTTTGCTTATACATTTTGTGACTATGTTATTTGATGCATATACACATAGAATTCTTATAGCTTCCTGTCGGATAGACTTTTCTATCATTATGAGATCTCGCTTCATCTCTAATAATGCTTATTGCCTTAATGTCTATTTAGGTATAGCTACTTCAGCTTTCCTTTGATTAGTGTTTTCATGGTATATCTTTTTTTCCATCTTTTTATTTTCATCCATTCTGTAGCTTTACGTTTAAAGGTGCCAACCAAAAGTCTGTGCGGTTTACCAGGATCCTTCACCCTTTTAAAAAATAATTATTATAATTTATTTAAATTAAAATAAAATAAAGCAAAACAAAACAAAACCAGTTTACCCATTTCTCCCACCTTCTACCCACCTCAGCTTTCTTCTTTTGTAATATCTTTTAAGGCTACAAATTTCCCTCTAAGTAATGCTTTGTATCCCAGAAGTTAATAAATTATATAATCATATAATTTAGCTTAAATGTTTTCTAATTCCCATTGTGATTTATTCTTTTGACCTGTGGGCTCTTTAGACATGTATTGACTAATTCACAGCATTTGGGCTATTTTTCTGGTTATCTGTTTGTTTTTGATGTCTAGCTTATTTCCACTTTAGTCATAATATATTCTGTATGATTTCAATCCTTTGATATTTGTTGAGATTTCTTTATGGTCTAGTATATATTTAAAGCTTATCTCTTATAACCAGCATATATGTGGATTTTTAAAAATCCAGTCTGATAATTTTTTGTTTTAGTTGGAATAATTATTGCATTTACATTTTCCTTTTGCTTGAAGAACTTTCTTTAGTATTTCTTTAGCAGGTATATTACAATAAAATTTTTTTTTTCAGTTTTTGTTTGGTAATGTCTTTATTTTGCCTTTATTTTTGAAGGATATTTTCAGTGGGTATAGAATTCTAGATTGGTGGCTTATTTTCTTTTCAGCACTTTAAGTATTTAATTCCATTATCTTACCTTAGTCTTTCATTATCTCTATTGATGAATAAGTTGACCTTTTTTATTACTACTCTTTTGAAGGTAATGTGTCTTTTTTTTAACCTCTGACTGCTTTTTAATTTTTTTTTTTGCTCCTTCTCATTCTTTAATTTTCAACAGTGTTACTATGATGTGCCTAGAGGTGGTTTTCTTTGACGTTTCCGTTAGCGTATGTAGAGCTTCCTCAGTTTGGGGTTGATACCTTTCATCAGTTTTGAAAATTATTGTCTATTGTCTTTTCAAATATTGCTTTTATCCCATCCTTTCTTTTCTCTCCTGGTACTCCAGTTATACATATATTACTACATATTTTCACTGTTCTATAGGGTTTAAAAAAATATTCTATGTTTTCCATCTTTTTCTCTCTCTGTACTTTAATCTAGATATTTTCTCTTGCTCTATCTTCTGGTTCATGTTTTTTCTCTTTTGCCATGCTATTAAATATATATAATAATATATTACTTTCAGTTATTTTTCAGTTTTATAATTTCTGTTTCTTTGTAAAAAGTAGGTATCAGTGTTTTGTGAGATTCTTCATCTTTTATTTTCTTGAGCACATTATTCATAGTCATTTTAAAGTTGCTGTCTGGTAACTTCCATATCTGGATCACCTATAGGTCTATTGATATTGTCTTTTTTCTTTTGGGTTTTGATAATTTCGTCCTGTTTCTTTGCATTTCTGATAATTTTGATTCAATTCCAGACATTGCATGTGAATAATTGTAGAGGCTCTGGTTAACATTACCTTCCTCCAAAGAGGATTTAATTTTCTTTTGGTAGATATTAATCTTTTGTTAGTTTTAGACTTTGTAAAATATCTTTTCCTTTGTTGGACAGAAATTCTTAATTTTGGCATAATTAATCAATCTCTTGTTTGACATACGATTTACATTTTTGCATTTTTCTTTATTTAAGTCCTTTCTTTCCTTTAGGTTTCCATGGTATTCTCCTGTATTTTTTCTATTAATTTTGTAATTTTAGCTTTCACATTTAGGTATTTAATCTTTTGTATTTGTTAGGTTGAAAGACTCACTTTTATTTTTCTCCATATAGTAAGACAGTTTTCCTAGCACCACCTACTCAACAATTTGTTCTTTACCCCATGCCTTGATTCTTTTCTAATTTCCTGTATAGATTGTCCAGCTAGTGCAATAACAGTGCTGTATATTCAGAACTTCTTCCCCATTCCTTTTTCTAACTACGATTGCTGCAAAATTGCAGAGACCTTATACAGGAAATCATCAGAAATCATAATCCATCCTGGTGCCTTTTAGGGTATCCACAGAGACACTCTAGAGAACAGCCTTATCTACTTATTAGTTTTTAAACTAGAAATGGTGGGACTGGCTTTACATTAAACAAATATATATATATATATATATTTTTTTTGTTTGTTTGTTTGTTGTTGTTGTTGT